CTGGCCAATCCCTGCTGTGGTGCCTGAATGCATCCACTTTGCAATAATACCACTTACAGCTGATTATGGAAACTCTATGAAGGAAGAAATTTCATGAACTGACTTTCTGCAAACCTGGTATCCTGTTAGAGTGTCACACTAGTATTGCGTGCACTCTTCAGAACGACCCATTCTTTCATAAATGTTTGTAAAGGCAGACTACATGGCTCAGCCTTCGCTCAGTGTTTATGCTCCTTTTTCTTGGTTCACCTCACTGATCGGTAGTTTTCTTAAGGTTGAGCTCTTTTCAGATCGCACATGTAGAAATGCTTTTTATTCAACTGAATTTCTTCTTCAGAGATGATGGTTTAACACTATCTTCCCAGGTTTTAATAACACATTGAACAGTTCTTAACCAGCTGTGGTTGCTTCAGTGTTTCTGTTCGGTTGTTTTCTTTGCTCGATGCAGGTCAATAATTTGATCCTCGTGAAACAGAGTAACATGTTTTCCACTATGAGCTGTGTCTTCCTACGTGGTTGTTTAAGAAATGAGAAGCAGTTCGGATTACATAACCTGCTGGCAGCTGAAACATATTAATCACTGCAGTAATTAAACACTGGATAATAACTGCTGACATTGTTTTTTGATCAGGCTGTTTGTGTAACTGAGCTCTGTGCTGCAGACTCAAAATAAACACGTTAGTTAAAACTCATCCCTGATATTACTTCATTTTATTCTGAGGCGATGAGTTTGCATATTTTTAAGACATTTATAACAAGAAGTGACTGAGAACAAGTACAAATCAGCTCAAAATGAAAACTACACGTCTGTGTTCATGAGAACACTCACATACTGTATATATTAATCAAAACTAATTCCAGTGATTTATGATAATTTGATTACTTTTAATGGGTCTGTCTCACAAATGCATTAAAATAACATTTTTACTTTCAAATGCAAATTTTTACTCGACTCTTTTCACATTTGCTCAAGTGAAATAAACGTCTCGCTTCTCCTTCCGCCTCAGTGAAACCAGAAGAATCGTGCACTATTTGTCACACCTGAGAGGGGATTTATCCTGCAGGCCTGCTGTCTCCACACCACCTGCAGACAGGAATCCATCACACATTTAATCACACACGTCTCACCTTCATGGTTATTCATTCCCATTTCTTCTCCCTGTCATCACTGTGGCGCTGACACTTCTCCCTGTGATGGAGAGTTAAAACCAGCTAAATCCTAAAGTAAAGGAAGAGAGAGATGTTTGCAGCTGATTTCAATTCATTGTAAGCTCTTTAAACCTGGTCAAGGTGAAAACTGATATATGTGCATAGGGATGCGTTAACAGCACGGAGCAATTTAAACAAAGTGAGACAATTGCTTTAACCACCTGCCGTCCACATATGTGGACATCATATTTTGGTTATTTAGACTAAAATACTCAATTTTGCTCAACAAGGGCCTGATATCCACTTACGAGGACGTTATACTGCTGCTGTTCTATCAAAACTTTAAACGAATATCCTCATATGTGGCTCTGATTTTTCTTAGAAACAAAAATAAGGTTAAAAAAATCTGGTAATTCTCTGTTTTTACATTCATCGGCCCCAATGTGACCAAATATCAAAGAGAAATTAGAAATGCATGCTGTGAAAGAGTTCGGGTCTAAGGAGGTTAAAAATGGACTGAGTTATTTATTTTTTTAAGTTTTTTTCAACATGTTCACAGAGAAGAAACTGTCTGCCTGTGCTGGTTAACACCTCAGAGCCCCGGGTGTGATCCTTATCAAGCACAAGCTGGTGTGAATATTAAAGAGGCTCGATAGCTCAAGTCTGAAGATCCAATGTGGGAGTATCAAACCGCTTTTAGTTCATAGTCAAAATCAACCCAGTTTGATAAACTGATCTTTAGTGGGCAGGAGAGTTAAAATGACTGGATAATAAAAGCTATTAAAGAGTCTATTAAAGTATTTGTTTTAATGATTTTTTTAAAATTGAGTGGCACAAAACAAGGCAGGGACCCTACAGGAAATCAGAGCGTTTGATTAAAAATAAAGTGTAGCGTAAAAAACATTACAGAAAAAATGGCACCACAAGCATAGAAAACAATGTTTCATGTTAAACAATGTTTAACAAGCTCTCCTTAACCCTTTAAGACCTACCATAGAACCAAGTCCGCCAGAGCTTATATTATATTTTTACATGCTGTGGAGCCATTTTTGGGAGCATTTCAAGTTGCTATACATCAATACAACCATTATAACCCAGATTTTAATAATTTGTATGGATTAAGTGCATACCAATTACATAAATTGCAAAAAAGTGCAATAAACTACAAAAAAATTGAAAATCATTTTGTTTTTTTAACATATATTTCTAGTTAGAGAAATTTAAGAGGTTTATCCCTAAAAACTGTAAATACAAAAAAGTTGCACAAAATAATTTCCCACCACAGGAAATTTATTTTGAGTGTCTTCATAGTTTTATTTTTGAAATACACCAATTTTTATATACTGCAGGAAAAATGAAAATAAATATTATAATGCAAATTTGCAAAATAACAGCATATGCATCAAAATAAACTATTTCCAGCAGTGCAATATGAGTCCTAAGCATCCCAGAAACCACACAGAAAGTCATAAAGTCAAAGATAACTTTTAAAAACACCAGTATAGGCTCATAAGGCCCTGATGGTAAAAAACTACATTTCCGCGAAAATGACGTCACTTCCGGTTTCGGGCAGGACATGGTGGACATGTGAAAGTTCGTGCTGACGTCTATTCCAACATTGGAAGTGTTATGAACAGCTGATCGGATCGGCAAAGCGTGTTTCTGGAATATTGTGTTTTTGTTGCTGCAAGTGGTTTTTATGCAGTTTTTGCAAAACTATATGTGGAAGGAAACTGTGACCGAGGACAAGCTGATGGCATAAGATGTAAGTACAACTCCTCCGGTTTCATATGCAAAAAAAAATTTGCGCTAGCTCACGTGGTTGCAGAGCTACCGGGATTTAAAAAATAGTTATGCAAAACAGAGCGTGCCCGCTCCATTTTAAAGGGTTAAGTAAAAGCTATAATCAGCTGTTACAATCATACTGTGCAAGTCTGAAACCTCATTAGTCCCTTATTTCTTCAGATTTTGCTTCCAAGGATTCAGAATTTCTGAAAGTCTTTCAAAGTTTTTCTTTAGACCTTGGCTGCTTTAACAAACTTTTTTTTTGCTCAGCCACTTAACACTGACCTATGACTCATCCAAGCATAAAATGTTGTGTCTCCAGGCAGCTCAGCAAAGAACCAGTGGTTTTGCCAAAACTGATGCAAAGGCATCTGATTGGCAACGGCATCATTTTCAACATCCCAAACACAATAATGTAATTTCCTCTACACAGCACTCAGTCCCTCACACAGAATAACACATTCATATTGATATTTTTAGATATGTAATATATGAAGTAATTAATGCTTTACAATAAATGGTATGAAGTAAAAAGCACTAAAATACTGACATCCAAAGTACAGTGGCGTAAAAGTAGAAAGGAGCAAGGTAAATTAAAAGGATTCTTTAGTAAAGTACTTGAGTAAATGTACTAAGTTACAATCCACCACTGCTTGTATGCATTTTCCTCTAGTGTAATTGTCCTGCTCTGGACACGCCCCTGCTCTAAAGAAAATAAAAGCAATGTAAACATGAAGTCTGACTGTTCTGACGTTACACGCGCAGGGATATTCACAGCGGCTCTTTAAAGACAGAAAACATCTCCACGCGGAGTGTTTTGTAACCGAATGAGCAAAATATTACTTCTTTGTAGACCAGCAAAGCAACTTATTAACAATTATTCATCATTATGAATGACTTCCCAACAGCAGGCCACATGTTAGACAGGGCTGCTCTAACACAGCACAGCCTTTTCACCAAGCTGTGATTTCTCCTCCACACAAGCAGCGCATCACTCGTCTGTAATCTCCGGGGAGCTCCGGGCTAAAGTAGCCCACTGACACACTTCTCGTTTATCATCAGAGCCCGCCTCGACGGATCACATCTGGGAGCCCGAGTGCCCATGAGCAACCCGTCATTCCACCCTGTGAATGTGCTCCAGCACCACCGTGACCTTGCGATGCGCCAAACTGCCAAAACCTGAACCAGTGCACTCCGCCTGTGTGTGCGCGTGTGCGTGTGTGTGTGGAGATGCTATCAGGATGAACCAGGGCAGATAAGCGCTACACTGACTGACACGCTTTTCATTACCCCGAGCAGACGGCAGATAACACGGACCAAACGAGGAAGGAGAGTCCGAGTCTGCGATGATCGCATTCAGAGGTAAATTATGCAACCAGGCAGCGACTCGAGTGCGGATTTCTCTGGAGGGAAACACCGGGAAACGAGTCAGTATCCAGGCAGGCAGCATCCACCCCGCGCTGCATCCCAGAAACCCGAGAAAAAAACAAAAAGAAAAGGGGAAAAAAGCCTCGATCACCTGCAGGGGCACCGATGAGAGGACCGGAGCACTGAGAGCGGGCAGTGATGGGAATGACAGCGGGGTCTTACCTGGTGCCCAGGGCGCGACCAGACAGGAATCCGACGGCTGTGGACATCCGGAGAGATGGATGCTGCTGGATGATGATGAGTGAAGAGGACGGAGAGAGAGAGGGGGAGAGAGAGAGGCTGAGGTGAAACTGACCATGCGCAAAACCAGCTCGTGGCTTTCCCTGCTGGTGTCTGCTGAGCTGAGCTGGTGGTGCTGGAGTCACAGGAACCTCTCCACTCTGCGCCTTTTGACCTACATCACTTCACGACATTTTCCCTAATTTAATGAGGCAACAGCGCCCCCAAACCACACTGCAGCCTGTTAATTGAGGCGTTTGTGATCTGACAGAT